TCTTTGTCACTAGGAGGCCTGGAATCCTAAGGAGGCAGATATACCTGGATCTGTTTTCTCAGAAGCTGTATACTTGGCTTCTGAAGATCAAATCATAAAAAAGTATAAGTGAGCATGGCTCCCGTGCCACTAAATGAGTGTACAAGACATCACGATATTTTCTTTGTATCAAATTAGATCTGATTGTAAGCTCTATCCCACTAGAAAGCAGAAATTGGCTTCAAGGAAACTTCCCTTCACTGACTTAGAAGAAAACTCTTTTATGGAAACTAGAATGCTCCAGGAACCTCTCTGGCATTTGTCCACCAGTCATCACAGATTTGTCCATCATCCAAACATAAATGTGTCCTTGAAATACATACGGGCACACAATCTGTGCCAGATCCAGCCTCTGGTCACTCTGCAGGGGCCACCTTTTGAGATTCCCATGGCTCAGAGCATCCCCAGACCTCTCACATTTCTAGAGACTCTAACCCCTCCCCCCACCCTTTACTCCTGTCTGCCTTCAGGACACTTATATTTCCTCCATGAGTTCATTTTTTTTTCAAAACCCAGAAAGGGAGGTGTGTAAGTAACATTTGCACTGTGCAGATGCCCCGGAGGCAAAGAAATTAAAGATGAAGCTGCCTTCTTGGAAGAAGGGAAAGGACCCAGAACAAAATATTGATAGCTTTCAACTTTTTATTCTATCACAGCAAAAGACAGAAGTCACTCAGTGTATCATCTTATGGTACTATGTGAAGCAAAAAAAAAAAAATATTTAAAAATGCCCTTCTTTACCAGTTTCTCTCTAATTCCTCACCAAGAGCAACCATTATCAGGATTTTTGGTGTGTGCTATGTTGTCTTTATGGTTAACTGTCAGCTATCTGGTTGTAGATCTTCTGTATTTAATCAATAAATACTGACTGAGCACCCACTGAGTAGCAGGCAGTGAAGGGGCGATGGGGGTGGGATAGGTTCATCTTGTAGCCCCAGGAAATGAAAGCAAAAAGAAGACCATCTCCACATGGTAGGGTAAGTCTATGAGTAGGGAAAGGCAGGACAGAGCAGCAGATGTCAACAGTGTTTAGGGACATGAAACATTTCTAGAGCATGGGTTACAGGGAGGGAAAACCTAAAGGCAGGCCTCAAGGAAACAGAAAATTTTAGGCTATGTTTAGAGTACAGGCTTTATCCCAAGAGTTATGAGTTTTACATAGAGTAATGTGCCCACTATTTTAGGCCATTTTGGCTCCAATATAGAGAAATGATAGGGTAGGTGACCCTAGCCAGGAAATTTTATTAGAGTAAATCAGAATGGCACTGATGCTGGCTTGTATTATTAAAGTAGCCATAGTGGAATGGAAGAAAGTGGAGAAAAATATTTAGGATGTGGAATTGTTAGAATTTGGTGATAGGCTGTTGTTGATTGGGAGAGGGCTGAAGGAGATGGAGAAGTCTAGGAGGGTAACGGATGGATAGTGGTTCTGATTTCTAATATAAGCAATGCTGGAAGAACAATTTTGAGGAGCAGAAGAGCAGAATATCATGTTCAGTTTTGAAAAGGCAGAATTTGAGGTGTTGCAGGGTATTCAGTTTAACACATGAGTCTGGAGCTCAAGAGAAGACTAGATCCTGACCTAGTCTTCTTTCTATAAGGAGAATCAAGGTTGTGGAGTTGGCTGGGTCACTCAGAAAGCCCAGGAAAAGAGCTGAGGATAAAATTATGGGAGGTCACCAATAACATTCTAGGACTCTCTTGGGCCCTTTTGCTTTAAAAATATATACTACTAAGGCAAAATTTTTGGTCACAAATTGGGGAAGGTATCATGTTTTCAAAGTCAAATGTAAGTTGACCTTCAAATTTCTCTGTCTTTTTTTTTTTTTTTTTTTTTTTTTTTTGAGGCAGGGTCTCACTACTAACTATGTAGCCTAAACTGGTCTTGAACTCACGGCAAGCCTCCCGAGTACTGGAATCACCACACATCGGTCTGGTTTTTTTGAAAACTTTATTTTATTTTACTGCTTTTTCCCATTTTGTCTGAACCTTGCCACTTAATAGTTGTATAAGTTGGACATGTTATTTAGCCTTTTAGTGCCTCAGTTTCTTCATCTTAAAATAGGGACCCTGGTAGTATCTACTTCTTGCTATTTAGGTGAGGATGAAAAAGAGTTAATACAAGAAGTGCTTAAAACAGTCACTTACACTCAGTAAGTGTGAACTGTTGAGCCGAGCGTGGTGGCTCACGTCTGTAATCCCAGCATTTGAGAAGCTGAGGCAGGAGGATCATTGTGAGTTCGAGACCAACCTAGGCTACAAAGTGAGCTCAAGGCCAGCCTGAACTGCATAGAGAGACCCTGTCTCAAAAAAACAAAAAAAGTGTGAACTGTTATTCTCATCCTTGTTACTGTTATCATGAAGAGTGGAGGGCTGATTCTGTTCATGCGGCGCTCTATTAAGTTCTAACCTTGTATGACCTTGAGTTCTCCAAGCTTAATGCCCCTCTCCTGGGGGCAGGCGACCATAACAAGATGACACCACCTCATAGTGAGGCACTGTCTGAGCCAGGGCATGTCCGAGGCATTTACTAATGGGCCCTGTCCTCCCATCTTCTCTTCCATAATTGTTGGTTCAGGAGCCGGAAAATGAAGATACTAGGTTCCCTTTCCCTTTATCAAAGACCACCTCCACTCCAGCGCTGCTTGGAGGTGCTGCTTCACCATTAGGTCGGTGGGCAGAGTGGTGTAGAAATATTCACAAATTTTCTGTGCAGTTCACTTTCCCCCTGTGACTTCCCGTTTCTCAGTTGACCCTCTGATCAGTGAGAGGCATCTTGGGGTCATCATGAGAAAGCTGGACTTGGATGGTGAGGAGGAGCAAGCACATCAGTGACTTCTGAGGATATAATTTGCCCTTCCTGAAGATCTTGTGTGTTTTGTTCTGTTGGAACATCTGACTTCCAATTCCTTACCACACATGGTGCTCCTTTGCCACCACCAAGAGAATCCTCACACAAAACTCTGTGGTTTGGGACCAGACCTCTTTCTGAGCAGACCTCTCCTGACTCTTGGTGGTCTTTCCAGCCTCATCTCCTGCCTTCTCTTTCATGCCAGACCTGCTTTCCTGAAATCCACTTTGACCTGATGCCCACGTGCAGGTGGCTTCCTCGGCCAGGAATGTACCCCTCCACCCAACACCCTTTTGTTGCTCCATTAGGTGAACACATACGTATTTGACCTCCATGAAAGCTCTCATGTTGTGCTTATGATAAATCCCCTCCCCTTCTTATGAAATTATCTCTCTTTTGTGTCCCCTTGAGCAAAGTAGCATTGTAACATCACAGTACTATATGTTTACATGCTTGTCTTTCGAGCTTCATTAAGGTAGTGAGCCTCTTTTACTCAACACTGACACTTCTGTGTTTCGTACACTGCACCATGGGGGGCTCAGTGGTGGTAGAATTAGGAAATGAATGTATAGTGATTATAGAGATGGACATTGGACAGAATAATAGAGCTTGTTGAGCTGGGTCTTACAGATTTACTAAAATGAAAACAACCCCAACCTTATGCCAGCCTTTTTCTGGGGAGCAGGAAAGCATAAGCTGTCTTCTACACTAAACTTTTAGCAACCTTGTAGTCTTTAAATTCTGGGAGCAAGAATGGAACATCTTCCCATCTCAGCACTCCCTGCCTAGAGATGCTTAGTTAAAGCAAGATAGTGTATATTTGTTAAGAACCTACTGTATTCAAGGGACTCAGTGTGATACAGTGAGTGGAAATAGCTTAAAAGTGCTTTTTGAAAGTGACTATGCTTTTAAACCCATTACCATTATCAGTTTCATAAGTTCATAAGGTCCTATGGATCCTCTGATGGCTTTTTCTAGAAGTCTTTTAGACTCTAGCATCAGTGGAGAGGAACAAGAAATAGGCTGTTCCTTAGTAGAAAATCCCTTTCTTGCTAGGATACACTGGTTTTCCACCATATGGGAGTTGGCCCATTGGCCCATTGGATTATTGGGCCTAATATATCACATTTTATTCTCATATCGTTCATAACATCTGACTCAGAAAAAATTAAATGCAAATGGTATTAGGATCATTTTGACTGAAAAGTTAAAATAAGACAGTCTCACCCCTGATTAAGGAGAGACTTAGATTTCTAGTAGTATATGTTGGCCTGCTTCCCCATTAGTCCCTGTTCAGCACAACTGGCACGGGGTCTTGGGCTGGACCTTCCATGAGTTCAGAGCAGATGAGTTGAGTTGACTCCTTCTCTAGTACATAACTTCTGAGATCCAGATGAGCTTCTATGAATTGTGCTGGTCAAAGCTTAAGTCTTAGCCAAGCATCTCCCAAGATAGGCTCTTCTTCCTGTGAGTGCCTTACTTAATCCCATTATGAGCCTGGAGCACAGGCATTCCCATAATAAGAATAGTGAGAGAATCAAGGTAGCATTACATTAGAAGACCCACATGTTGGGAAAGAGCACACCTTGGGAATCTATAGAGCAACTGCTGCTAAGGGCATCACAAAAAGGCAGGAGGCACTACCAACGCCCAGCACTGCCCTTGGGGAGTAGAGGAAAGACATGATTCTAGAGGTGCTGATGTAGGAGCAGATGGACTCTGTCAGACTGGGGTTTGGGGAGCAGGTAGAAAAATTGGGAATTGAGAGAATCTGGGGCCAAGAGAAGAGCCCTTTACATCTGACCAGTGTGGAAAAATAGGGTTTGAAGTTTGTTGGAGCTGATTTGTAGCAAGTTCTTCATTCAGGCCCCTCTGCATATTTCTCCCTCCCCTCTACCCACAGCTCCTGGGTCCTTGATACCAGTACCGCTGAAATGACAACTGACGGCTACTGGCTTACTATGAACCAATCCAATAACAGACAACTCTTTCTTAGCACTGAGAGACCAACCTGGAACCTGCCTAGGACAGCATCAAAGTACTTGGTTCCTATAGCTCACTTCTGCCTAAAGAGCCTCCCTGACCCAGATCTTTGTCTCTCTCTCTGCAGTCACATCCCCTCTACCTGTGCAATGCCAGTGATGACGACAATCTGGAGCCTGGATTCATCAGTATTGTCAAGCTGGAGAGTCCCCGACGGGCCCCTCGCCCCTGCCTGTCACTGGCCAGCAAGGTAGATTTGCACTTGACCCTATATGTACCCTGAACTGTGAGGAGCCCCCATACTCTTTTGTCCCTTAATCTCCTAACAGTGATGTGCCTGATTCCCTTTCCTGGTGGGGGATTGGTGAAAATTTTACACCTCTGTCCTTTGTTTATTACCCAGCACCAGCAGAATTTTGACTTTCATCTTAGTAGGTACCCAATCTCAGCTTCTGCTCCTCAGTTTAAAAGTTCCTAAGCATAGTCTCTGGACACTAGAACATTTTAGAAACATTTAATGAACACCTTTTTTTTTTTTTGGCACTAGAGATTAAATCCAGAGCCATCATACTGAGCTACATCTCCATGCCTTTTTTAATTTTTATTTTGAGACACGGTCTTACTGATTTGCTAAGCTGCCCAGGCTAGGCTGGAACTTGTGATCTTCTTGCCTCATCCTCCCAGAGTGCTAGAATTATAGGTGTGCGCCACCACATCCAGCTTACATTTACTGAACACTTTTGCAAGGAAAGAAAACAGCAATTTTGCATGTTTCCTCTTAGGTTGCAAACTGCTGGCCCACCGGATAGCTTTGGCTACACAAGGCGTATTGTGTGTAGCCCACACAATGACTTTTCCAAATGCAAATTAATTGCCACATTTAAAAATTGAAAATGTACATAAAAAACCTTTTCTGGAGGAAACGCCCTACCTCCAACAGTACTTGCTCCACTTTCATGCAGGCCCTAATCAGCAGGAGTTGGGCAGGAGGTGCCCCCTTTCAACCGTTGGTGGGCTCTCATTCGCCACACTCTGCTCTGGCCTCATAGGCTCTTTAATCTGTGCCTGTGAGCCCCACTTTAACTAATAGTTAGTATTTTCTGTGTGATTACCACTGGGCCTAGTGGAACATGGGACAGATACTTTGTAATTATCTCATGTACTTTTCACAATAATCTGGAATGGCAAACATTACCTTCTACTTGACGTAAGAGGCAAGGGAGGATCAGAAGAAATTAACTCTCCAGTCCAACACAAATCAGGAGGGAGTGGAACAGGGATTTTGAACCAAGCCCATCGTGTTCTCAAACCCAGGCTTTTAATCTTTGCTGTGCTGCATTCCTTCCTGAACCCCCTGTGTAGAGCACAGATAGATTATTCGTGACACAGACAGGTTGACTTAGGGGTGGGAAAAAGGAGAGTGATGTGACACCCCCAACTGTAGTGCCAGCTTCTGTACTCAAGTCCAGATCCCTTGAGGATTTCCTGATTCTCTAGAGAGCCTCAGGAAAACAACTTCATCCTGCAGGGGCCAGGAGAGAGATGTGGTCAACTTCTGTGTGTGGCTGGCTAGGGCTATCGCTCAGGGCTAGAGCACTTGCTTGTCAGTGATGATATTCTCCCGGCCTGGCCATACTGATGTAGAAGAAGCTTCTGGGGAGGTGAGAAGCAGGGTCAAGGCAGCTGTGGAGGAGTTGGAACATGGGCAATGCAGCAAGGGTCTCATGGCAGCAAAATTTTGTTAGGCCAAAGCTGCCCTGCTCTGGATATTTCATTTCCCCTACTTCACAGAGGATTTCATCCTCATTTAGTAAGGAAGTGCTGAGCGTCCATCTGCCTTAGAGACAGTGTCAGTGTGAGGAGAGTGTGGGGGGGGGGTGCAGAAGGGCTCAGAGAGGTTCTGGTGATTTTGTCTTTGTTTTACCTATTATAAAAGCAATATATTTTTACCCTGAAAATTACAGAAAAACCTACAGTTCCCACTGTCCTTTTAGCATAGCTTGTGATTTCAGCCTGTGACCTGTGGGCACTTCTGCAGAGGGGCTGTTTTGTAACACGCCAGGAAGAGAGTTGGAACATGCACACAGAGGAGGGAGGTGAGGCAAGGAACTCATGCTCAGTGCCCTTTGAGGTACTCAGTGGGCTTCTGTTCTCATCACCATAAAATAAGACCTTGATTTCCTACCCCTGTGATTATTGTGAGGCTGAAATAATGTGTCAAGTGTCAAATTGTGTCGGAGCTAAAACAAACATGGAAACAAATCAACTGTTCGGGGTTTAAAAAAAATACCTCGGCTACTGTGTAACTATGCCCTCTGTCTCTCCCTCTATCACTGACTGCCTGTGTGACCACTCCAGCTCCAAGCTCATCAGTGCCTTTCAGTTGGGTAGGTCTGAGGTTTCCCACAGGGTCTTACCCTTTGACCATGCAGCCCCTACTTGGCGGGGTCCCCTGGCTCACAGTAGGTCTTTGAGGGCAGTAATACTTCCAGTATTTCAGAAGTCTCATTCACTTGACTGAAATACTCACTTTTGCCTTTGGTTGGTTGAATGTATTAATACAGGTTATCTCATATGAAAATGAATTGCACATAATAAATGCAGTCAGCTTAGTAGAACACACTATTTTAAAGATATAGCTCATGGGAAGTGTAAGGCAAAAGTGAGGTCTTTGGTAAGAGAAAATATGAAAACCATTGAGTAAGTCAGTTCAGTTCTGGTTTTCTCTATTTGTTTTGTACTGTTAGTGTCACAATCATTAACAGAACTGGGACTCTAAGGGTTTAAAGCTTGGCTCCCCTACTAACCCTTGGTGTGACCTGGACATTTTAACTCACCACTCCAAGCCTCTGTTTCCTCATCTGTAAAAGTGGAATAATGATGAGCTTATATCAATAGTCATGAAGACTTAATGAGATGGTACTGATGGAAGCTGTTAGCCCTATGTCAAACGTATAATATTCATTCAAGAAAACTGTCATTGTCATAGGCTTCATCACCCCATGCTGTGTGTGCATATGTGTGTGTGAGTGTGTGTGTATGTGTGTGGCACTGGGATTGAACCCAGGGCCTTGCATGTGCTAAACACATGTTCCACCACTGAGCTATACCCTATATCCCATTCTGTGCCTTTATAGTTCACAAGGTTGGTGTTTATTTTCTTCTATTTGTTATCTTCTTGTTCTCTGAAACCTTGACCATAATTCTTTGGATTCCTCCATTCTTGTCACTGATGCTGCCTCTAGTCACTCAAATTGGTTTCTGTTTCTTTATTAGCAGCTTCATGTTCATCTTAGTGATAAGTCAAACCTTTATCACCTCATGCCTGGCCTAGCACAAGGGCCCTTTTGGCCAGTAGAATGTCAGATCCAGAGGTAAGCAGGTGGGTGGAAACTGTGCCTCTCTTGCCGGAGGCCACTCCCCAGTGGTTAAGAGCAGGCACTCTGGATGCTGAAGTCCTGGCTTGAAGTCTGCCTCTCCTGCTCATCAGTGGGTGACCCTGGGCAAGTCATTTAGTGTCTCTGACCCTCAGTTGCCTCAACTCTAAAGTGGGATTGATAGATTGTCTTGTAGAGTAGTGAGGAGTAAATGAAGTCATGGGTATGACTTCATATACTATCAACTATGGTAATAGTAATAGTTGATACAATAATCACTGATATTAATTCTTTTTTTTTTTTTTTTGTACCAGGGATCAAACTCATAATCTTGTGCTTGCCAGGCAGGCGCTTGCACCATTGAGGTGAATCCCCAGCCCATGATACTTAATTCTAATACTTAATACTTAAGGAACACTTACTATGTTTCAGGCACTATAAGGGCTTTACATAATTTATGTAGTCCTTATGACAACAACTCTATAAAATAGGTTCTCCTATTACCCCAGTTTTCCAGAAGAAAAACTGAGACACAGATTAGTTAAGTATCTTGCCCATAGTCTTACAGCTAACCATAGTAGTGCCAAGAGTTAAACCTAGGCAGTCTTGGTAGGTTTGCCATTTTCAGTAAAGGTTATAGCCCTTCGTCCTTGCTTCCAGGCCCAGAGGAACCTACACCTTCTAAAACCTTTCCTGCCTGGCCTAGCCCAGCCAGCCCACTAGGAGAAGAAATCTCTCCACCCAGCACATCTCCAGCAGTGAAGGTCTTTGCCTACAGTTCCAATGTTATACTCTGCTAAGTAGTCTAGGTTTTGTGGAGGAGCAGGGGGCAGGGAGGTTTGGAAGAGTCCTTCCTATCCCACAGTGAGCTGCCTATATTTATTTGTTTTGTAAATTGAATTTTTGTGTTTGATTTGGAGTAGGACAATGGAGGGACAAGTATTCTGAAGTGCAAAAGGGTTGGTTACTGGTCTGTCCCATTCATTTGTGGGTAGGATATTGTAATCAGCATTATAATTTTATGTACACAGAGGGCTTACCTCCCCAACTAGACTGTTCTGGAGGACCTGGCCTTCCCTGGTTGGCTTCCCTGGACATAGTTAGTACTCATTTAATCTTGAATGAGCAGTGTAGAGACTGTCACTGTAGACCGGAGAGGAAAATCTAAAGCCCAGATAGGTGCCACAGCCCTATCTGCCCACAACCCACAGCCCAGTGAGCACAAAGGGCAGGATTTCACCCACTCACTGCAGAATGGCTCCAGTACCAAAAGCCATGGGCAGTGTGGCTTGCTGCTTGCCAGCCTGGCTTACTGTTGTGAATCATCCAGAGAGATCCCTGGGTTATCTTTCTGCAGCCCAGTCTCCTGGCCCTACAGGCCTACCTGTTCTCTCAGTACCTTCCAGATTCCATCCCAAAGAAGCACTTGGATGCAGATGGGCAGGAGGCAGGGAGAGTTCCAGATTGAGCCCTAAATCTTGCTTTTTAAGTCCTAGAATAGGAATCAATTGCCTGAAAGTCCTGTTTGTTTTCTCTTGTTGGCCAACTCTCTGAGCTCTTTGATCACTTTTATAGCTTTGTAATTATGGACTGTAATAGGCGAGGGTGTTTGAATGTCACTATAATTGCTTTCTACTGTTCCTACCCCACTTCTTCAAAGAGACAGGGGTGGGAGCCAGGCATGATAGTACATGCCTGTAATCCCAGCTGCTCTGGAGGCTGAAGCAGGAAGACTTCAAGTTTGAGGCCAGTCTAGTCAACTTAGCCAGACCCTGTTTCAAAATTTAAAAAAATTTTTAAAAAGCTAAGGATATAGTCAGTGCTGCCTGGGTTTGATCCCCAATACAATAAGGAAGAAAGAAAGGGGTACGTGAGACTATGAATGGGAATCTGAAAGAAATGAGTCTTTGCCCTCTATGTGAGGCTATGGCTAAGATCTTGTTCTGGGAATTCCAATTGTGTGCCTGCTACAGTACCTCTCCCACTCCTGTGCCAACTCTCTGGAATATGAGGTTTTCGGTAGGATTCCCCTAGCAGGGATTCCTTCCTCCTGACTCTACTCCCATACCCTTGCATGGAGAGTTTCATCCTGCCTGGAGGAGTCTTGCTGGCATGGATCTCCTGAGAGGAATGGGTGAGGGGGGTGACAGAAGCTATAGCTCCTTAATTACTTCAGTGATTCCATTCTGCAGTTGTATGAATTTCTAGCTCGGCAGGGCCCAGGTGCTGGTCCCTGTAGAGGGCCCAACCCAGCTCCCAGAAGACAGAGAAGAAAGAAGAGTGAAGTTATCCTCTGATCAAAATGGGGCTTGCTTGTGTGTCTCCACTGCCATCTCCTGCTCCCTGCTCCCCTACTGGCAGGCAGCTGATTTGGAGTGGGCCCCCTGCCTCCTGCCACTCCTTGGGGAGAGGAGCAAGGAGCTGCTCCCAGCCTGCCTGGTAGAGACCTGTTGGGACAGGCTCTCCCTGGGAAGGCAGGCTGAGATCAAAGCTCTGGGAGTATGAGTAAGACCCAGCACTGGCTCCTCTTCTGCCACCACTGCTTGCAGACAGGTTAACTCCTTCACTGCCTGCCAAGGCCCCAAACATCCAGCGGGGGTCCTGGAAGAGGGAAGTCATGGCCTGTGTCGTGTCAAAGGGGCCTCTGCTCCAGGGAAGAAGGCCACTGAGCACTGGGCAGGGAGATGCAGCCCCGCAGGGTCTGTGTGCCAGTTGGTCTGCCGTTGTGCCTCCACCCAACCACTGCTCTTATCTCTCTCTTTTTGCCCCCACACATGTACCATCTTGAACCCCGCCTTTTCTTCTCTTTCTGGCTCTGCTATCTGCTCTGTCTGGCTGGCTAGATTCTGGCACCGCTCAAGCCTGCTCTTGGAGGCCTTCGTGAACACCCATGTGCATAGTTGTATCCTTGTGGAAACGACCCCTCAAGCCCCTCCCTACTTGAGTCACCCTAAAGGAGAGGACAAAGAGGTAAAGCACTGAACAGGGACTCCTCCAAGTGCTTGAAATGGAGCCAGAGCAAGTTGGAAGCTAGAGAGTAGTGGAGGAGCATGTGTGTGAGGTGGCTCAGGCGGGCATGAGGCCAGGCTCTGAGTCTCACAGCCTCCTTGCCAGACAGGTCTAAGATCTGGGGAAGCCAGCTGGGTCCCAAAGGAATTCTTTCTTGCTTTTCTCTTCTTGCTCTGTGTCTTCCTCCTACTGGGTGCTGGTTACCCCCTAGTCTTTGGTCTCATACTGCTTGAACCCTGAGTGAAGGCAGGGGCTATGTCTTATTTGTCCTTAGCCCAAGAGCCAGAGCCACCACTAGGCACCCAGTAAACCTTTGTGAAAGGCTTATTCTCTTACAAAAGAAAAAGACTGAGTGGGGTCATCTGGAGCAATGAAGCCTGGCTGAGCTGGAGCCTGGTAGGTCCTGGCCTCCTGACTCCTTGCCTGTGTGTACATGAGAGCGCAGTGGGGCTGAGGGCTCGGGTGGGTTGGGTGTGAGACCCAGTCATGCATGGGCCGTGTCCTTCTCTAACTCCATTTGAACCTTGATGTGTGTCTGCAGGCCCGGATGGCTGGTGAGAGAGGAGCCAGTGCTGTCCTCTTTGACATCACTGAGGATAGAGCTGCTGCTGAGCAGGTACCCAGGGACATAAGAGTGTTTAAGGAGGGGCTGGATTAAGGAAGATAAAGTTTGGGGTGGGAGAGAAGTCATCACAGCCCTTGGTGTCCCTTTCTCCTCTGCAGCTGCAGCAGCCCCTGGGACTGACATGGCCAGTAGTGCTAATCTGGGGGAATGATGCTGAGAAGCTGATGGAGTTTGTGTACAAGAACCGGAAGGCCCATGTGAGAATCGAGCTGAAGGAGCCCCCAACCTGGGTAAGCACTCCATTCCAGCAACCATGCCTGGCAGAGTTCTCACATTTACCTCATACTGTGGCGACTCCCACCAAGTGCGCAGGGAATTTTGACCCTCAGGGTAGCAAGTTTTTCCTCCTTTCTGGGCATCACCTACTTAATAAACACATTGGATCAAATGAATTTGGAAATTGTTTCCAGCTCTGTGGTCTCAAGTAGTAGCAGAGGCTGCCTGACTCCTGACCCTTGACTCCTAGTGGGTGCTTCTCTATTGGCCAGGATTCTTATGCAGCTGCTCACTGGCAAGATGTTTCCCCTTTGCAAAGGGGTTCTTCTCCCCTCTTTCCAAACACATTGGTTTCCAGAGAACTCCCTCCCATAAGTGCCCCTGGGCAGAGAGACCACTTCCATGTTCATCGCTACCTCATCCTTCAGATGAGATACTCAAGGGAACATCCGGCTCTCTGTGTGTCTCTGTGTGTGCTTCTGTTTCCTCTTTAATTGACCTCATTCCTTCGTGAAGTCTGACCCTTTCCTTCTCTGCTTGTCTCGCAGCCAGATTACGATGTGTGGATCCTCCTGACGGTGGTAGGCACCATCTTTGTGATCATCTTGGCTTCTGTGCTCCGTATCCGATGCCGACCCCACCACAGCAGGCCTGTGAGCAAAGTGGGCTCCCTGGCAGGGTGGGGATGGGAATGTGTGGAGGGGGCAGGAAGGAGAAAATGAGGAAGGCTGGCACCTTCATGGCCAGGAAACAATGTACATCTAAATACCCTAGTATCTACTTTTATTGATTTCTGGCAGCCTCTCCCAATATTGCTTCCCATACTTATTCATTCATTCAACAACTGAGCAACTATTGTATGCCAGACACTGTTTCAGGTCTTGGAAATAACTCAGAGCTAAAGCAACTCCAGCCCCTCTCTTCAAGGAGCTTTTATTTCAGACAATAAACAAACATTCTATTTCATTCCAGAGCATAAGCAAAACAAATAGGTAAAATATATACTATTTAGATGGTGATATGTGCCACAGAGAACAGCAAAATAGCAAAAAGGCAGACATTAAAAGGGGACAGCACATTAATTTTTAAAAGCAAGCCCATGGAAGGTCACATTGAGAAAATGACATTATGGCAAAGCCACAGATGGATGAGAAAGGGTGTGAGCTGCATGGGTTTGGGGGTGGGGGAAGGTGGAAAGACTAGTAGGTACAAAGGCCTTGAGACAGCTGTGCTCCTAACAAAGCTGTGTGGCTAGAACTGAGTGAGCAGGAGGCAGAATAGGAGGGAAGCTCAGAGAGTACATGGGGCCAGTTGTATTGAGTTGTTCATGGGATTGTCAGGACTTTGTTTTGGTTTGTTCTTCTGGTACTGGGGATTCTGCCTGTTAGGGACAGGGTCTATCACTGATTACATTGTCGGGATGAAATGGAAACTACTGGAATAGAAGCCACTTAAGCCAAAAAGGAGCCATTTTTGAGTAAAAGTACCATAATCTCATGTTTTAAAATGACAGTTCTCGTGTGTGTGTGTGTGTGTGTGTGTGTGTGTGTGTGTGTGTGTGTGTGTGTTTTCCTGGAGATTGAACCCAGGACCTCTGTATTGAGTTACATGCCCAGCTCTTTTTTGTTTTATTTAAATTTTGAGAAAAGTTCTCCTGAAGTTGCCTGGACTGGCCTCAAACTTGCAGGCATCCTGCCTCAGCTCTCAGAATCTTGGGATCACAGGTGTGGGCTACCATGCTCTGTGATCATTAATTCTTGTCTCTGTGATAAGAACAGACCACAGGAAGGCAAGGCTGGAAACAGAAAACAACCAGGAGGTGGTATAGGGAATCCAGGTGATAGCTGTGGTAGCAGAGAAAGTGGTGAGAAATAGTTATTGTGGATGTTTTGAAGTCTGAGTCAACAGGTGTCCTCAAGGACTGACTGTGGGAGGTGAGAGAGAGGAGTGAGGTATGGCATCAAGAGTTTAGGCCACAGCAGTGAAAAGATTGGAATTGTCATTTATGAGATGGAAGATTGGGGGAGCAGATATATGGTTGGGGATAGTTAATGGGATTAGGGGTTCAATTTGGGACATGTTAAAGTTTAAGTGCTTACTGGTTAGCCAAGTTGAGACGTCAAGCAGCAATTAGATAAAAAGTTTCTGTCCTGGGCTGGTGAAGGAATAAAAGCTTAATGAGATGAGCAAGGGGGTGAGTACAGCCATGCAAGAACTCTGAAGAGATAAATTCCCTACGGTGCTCAACTAGTTGTGTGACCTAACTGGGTGATGGGAAGTGAGTCCAAGCTGGGGCCTAGGTAAGAGGGAGAGGAGCCCTTACTCATTCCTGAAACCCACTTCTCTTTCCAGGATCCCCTTCAGCAGCGAACGGCGTGGGCCATCAGCCAGCTGGCCACCAGAAGGTACCAGGCCAGCTGCAGGAGGGCTCGGACTGAGTGGCCGGACTCAGGTAGCAGTTGCAGTTCAGCCCCTGTGTGTGCCATCTGCCTGGAGGAATTCTCCGAGGGACAGGTAAGGCAGGCTTGTAATTCACCTCCATCCATAACCAGCTAGGAAGGGAGACCAGGGTAGGGGTGGGGAGGCCTGGGGCTGGTATGAATATCTGGCTACATACATGTCTTACGTTGCTGTGTGGGACAGAAGCAGATGATGGCCCTGAGGTTTGGTCACTTCTCTGGCCTTCCAGGGAAAGGGTAGTGTTGTTTGCTGAGAGGGAACCATGTGCCAGGGCACAGTGGTACTTTCAACACCTTGTCTCAGTTTACCTTCATGTGAAGGATCAAGGTAGATATTTTTTTATCCTCATTTATAGCTGAAAACTGTGAAGAAACTTTCCCAAAGACATGCAGCTAATTGGAAACATTCAAATCCACCTTTTGCAAGTAGTTGAATGCAGGAAAGGCAGGTGTAAGGGAGTCAGGGAAATGATCTGGTCTTGGCTACTCTACTGACCACAGAAACCTTTGGTTTGGACGCTGTTGTTTTCTCCAGGAGCTACGGGTCATTTCCTGCCTACATGAATTCCATCGAACCTGTGTGGACCCCTGGCTCCACCAGCATCAGACTTGTCCGCTCTGCATGTTCAACATCGTAGGTAGGAGCTGGGCCAAGGACTCCCGTGTATGCAGGGAGACAGGGGTGGAGCATGGCTTTTCCCTGGAAAGGGTCTCTGCTGTGACACTGAGGACAGAACTGCCACCACAGTCATTTCAGCTGTGCCTCGTCTGAGAGGGAAGGCTGTTCACATCATATACATCTTTATTATCTTAAAAATTATTTGTACTTTTGCAACAACTTTGTTGATTCTAAACAAAAATTTTGGTGGTTTATATGTTTATTGTTTATTATTCCAATTTTCTGGCAATAAATTATTCTAACAAAATCAGTATATGTGACAATTTTCTAAAACATGAAAGTGAAATAATATCTGGAGGAAAGAGAACTTTTTTTTGTTAATTTACCTGAAGGTATAATGTGGGTTAGCAGTGGCCCTGGATAATGGAACCCCAGATGGCTGGCGGGAGTAGTGGGGTTAACTGTTTAGTGCCTCTTGGGACAGGCAGCCTGACTGGAGGGACTAAGGAAGTCCCAAGGGAATTCCAGGCAAGCCAGGGATGGCTGTGATCCCCCAAACTGAGCTAATGGCTGTACAGGGTCAAATAGGCTAGCTGCCGTCACACCTTTCTGACTGCATCTGCATTGCTGTGGAGTCAATCGGCTGTAATTTTGATTCTTTTTTCCAGAAGGAGATTCATTTTCCCACTCCCTGGGACCTTCTAGATCTTACCAAGAACCAGGCAGGAGACTGCACCTCATTCGCCAGCACCCTGGCCATGCTCATTACCACCTCCCTGCTGCCTACCTGCTGGGCCCTTCTGGGAATTCAGGAGCTCAGCCTCCACGACCTAGATCTTTCCTGCCATCGCAGGAGCAAAGCATGGGACCACGACACCAACGCCTCCCCAGAGCTGGAGCTGCACATCTCGGGACTCGAGGCGAGCAGCAGCGCCTGGCAGTGGCCCACCACCCCTATGCACAGAGCTGGGGGCTGAGCCACCTCCGATGCACCTCTCAGCACCCCACAGCTTGCCCAGTATCCACACGCCGGGCCAGGCCTCATGACAGCAGCGGGTCTGGAGAAAGCTACTGCACAGAACGCAGTGGCTACTTGGCAGATGGTCCAGCCAGTGATTCCAGCTCTGGGCCCTGCCATGGCTCTTCCAGTGACTCGGTGGTCAACTGCACGGATGTCAGCCTGCAGGGTATCCATGGCAGCAGTTCTACCTTCCGCAGTTCCCTGAGTAGTGACTTCGATCCCTTGGTGTACTGCAGCCCTGAAGGGGATCTTCACCTGGAGGGGACACAACCTAGTGTGACCTCTCGACCCCGTTCCTTGGACTCAGTGGTGCCCAGAGGGGAAGCCCAGGTTTCTAGCCATGTCCATTACCACCGCCACAGACACCACCACTACAAAAAGCGGTTCCAATGGCATGGCAGGAAGCCTGGCTCAGAAACTGGGGTCTCTCAGTCCAGGCCTGTTGCTTCTCGGACACAGCCCCAGATGGAGCCACCTTTTCCCAATCAGCAAGCCATCAAATCTAACCCAGCAGCCCCTTTGGGTCAGTTCCCCAACCCACAACGGTCCAGGGCCCCCACAGAGCCAGCCCCTGGCCGAGCTGAAGCTGCCAGTCCAAGCCCCAGTCCCAGCAGTCACTTGCAGAAATCCAGCCTCCCCATTCGACACATACAGAGAAAACGGCGGGGTGGCCCCTCAGAGCCCACACCAGCCTCTGGGACCCAGGACTTGACTGTGCACCCAGCTTGCCAGATGTTCCCCCATCACAGCCCTGGCCTGGCATACCCTTGGCCCCCAGAGGCCCACCCATTGATCTTCAGACCTTCAGGCCTGGAGAGGCTGCTACCAGAAACTCCAGGCCCTTGTTACTCAAGTTCACAGCCAGTGTGGCTGTGTCTGACTCCACGCCAGCCTCTGGAACAACATCCACCTGGGGAGGGGCCTTCTGAGTGGAGTTCTGACATCCCAGAGGGCAGACCATGCCCTTACCCACACTGTCAGGTGCTTCCGGCCCAGCCTGGTGAGTTTTCAGGGGAAGCAGTGTGTGGTAGGAAAAGCTATCAGAGCTGGATATTTCAGGATGAGTGAAGTCAGCCAGCTTGGGATTGATGGAGCTGAGGCAGATACACCAGAGGTGACATTCAAAGTATGGAAAAACTGGCAGAGCACAGTGTGTTGGCTGGAGCATCCTGGCTCTTCCAGGCATTACCCCTTTAGTTGCCAGATCATAAGAAGGATGGGAAGGTGGTATTGGTATGGCTGAGCTATCAGAAAGGCACTTGGGGGTGGTTTGGAGCAGTAGCTCAAACCAAGGTGTTTCAATACTTGGATAATCAAAATGGCTCTAGCAATGCTCAAAGTCCATTAGCTCTAAATATTAAGAAGGCTAAGAAGTCTCCTTGGGGACAGCATGATTGTACAAGAGAAATAATTACAGATAACTGTAAGTCTAGGTCATCTGGCTATATGAATGATGAAAAAATTTGAAATTGTAAATGTTTCCCAACCATGCTGGGGATCCTTAGGTTTTAATAAGTTTCCCCTTCCCTTCCCTCCCCTTCCCTCCCCTCCCCTCCCATCCCCTCCCCTCCTTTTCCCTCCCCTTCCCTTCCTTTCTTATTAGTAAGACCAACCTCATTTTCTTGGGAACTTGGTGCTTGCCTGAATTACAGGCAGTGGTGACTATGTACATTCTCAGCTTTAATGCAAAGCTTTGGGTATTTATTTGCTCAACTATTTCCACAGCCCTCTACTTCCCACTCTTCCCGCCTTCTCCCACTGTGTGAATGATAGAACTCTGCTACAGTTACTGCTAGGAAAACCCTCCCATCCCAAAAGAGGACCAAAAGGTCCTAAATATAAGGCCTTCCAGACTAGGAATCCTACAGGCAGAGCATGGGAGTTTCTGTCACTCACTCATTCATTCGTTCATTCATTCATTCATTTCTCCCTTTTTTCCAATTCTGACTGCACGCTTTCATGTGCCACGTTTCACACTAGGATCTGAGGATGTGGAATTTGCTAAAGAGATCCAGCTTTGTGGGGAGACAGGCATGCACACAGTGACGGTGTATAAGACACTTGTTTCCAAAAGCCATGTGATACAAGCTTTGGCAAAACGTGTGATGGTCACGTGGACTTTCTGCCAAGACCGTCCTTTGCTCCTAAACTCAGGCTAGTTTTAGTACCTTCCTTTTCCTTGCTCCTCACATCTACTCTGTGTCAGATTCTCTGTTAGTTTTATCATATTCTTCTCAGATCCAGTACTGATGGCCTCTTAAGACAGCCTGATCAGTGTAGGACCTCCTCGCTGTTTTCTTCCCACTTACAGGGCCATGAAGTCCAGGAGCTGAACATCCAGTGTCCTTCATTCACTTTACAATGAACTGTCTAGAGCTCTCCAAATTCCCTGTTTTGTACATAATAAGGAAAAACTCAACTTGGGTTTCAAGGTTCCATCATCAGTTAGCTCCATTTTTCTTCCCAGTCTTATTTTCCGTACCTCCCTTTCTCTTTCTTTGCCCTATGCTTTCATCAAACTGGGTAAATACTTTTTATACTGCACCCAGAATATCCTGTTGCCTTCCCTATTCCACCCTCCCTTTTTTTTTTTTTTTGGTACCAGGGATCAAACTCATGACCTTAGTCTTGCCAGGCAGGTGCTTGGCCTTCCCTATTCCTATAAATCGATTCTTACCTATTCCTATAAACCAACTTGTATATCATTCCAGGAGGCCTTCTCTGATTGCTGCACTGTAACATGGTCTCCTCACTCTCTCTGTCCACTGTAGTCCTGTCACACGGGCATAATAGCCATTTGCATGCATGTCTTCTTCCTACAAGGCTGTCACATCTCTGCTTATTCTTTTAGGCCTTCTGTTTGGCAAATGGTAGCTGGCCAAACTCACAGTACACAGTGAATCCTTAATAAATATTTGTTGGATGAACGAATGCATGCATGAATAGTAAGTAATGGTAACACACTGCTTGCTGTATTTCTCTAGATTTGTTTAGTCTCCTGTCTTCCAGAGGGACCCCACACAGTTTTCAATCTAATCTTACCTTTCCAGATACATTCCCTGTCCCTTTCTGTGGTCCCCTCCCTGCCACACTCCACAGGTAAGAGAAGGAGCCGGGCCTGACTCTGGATGTCTTCTTCCCTCTCCTCTACGCAGGCTCGGAGCAGGAACTTGAGGAGCTGTGTGAACAGGCTGTGTGAGATGGTCAGGCCTACCTCTGACAAGAGTGTGCTCGTGATGACTCAGGGTCCTACCAGGCACAGAGTCCTACTCCTGCAGAAGAAAGGATCTCAGCAAACACCTTGCTCTTCACTGTTCTTCCTGGAACCACTGGAAGAGGATGGCGATGGTGGGTGGCAAGAGGTGCTGTTTCCTGTCCTGGCTCTAGACCTTGTCTGCAGAACACACGTGTGCAGTGAGTCTTGTGTCTCACCAGGCATCAGCTCCTGCCTGTGTGCATCGTGAGCTGCATCCCTGAAAGCTTTTTGAGGGCTTCTGCTAGGTGTGTGTGGCTAGGTATTACAAAGGTGCTGCTCCTTCCCACTGCCCTGCCAGGTTTCCCTCGCCCCGGACCTCATGATCTTAGGTGCTGGTGGGTTCAGATAAATGCGGGATCTCTTCTTACCTCCTTCCTCTGGTAAACTCTGCACACCAACTCTGGGTCCTCCCTGGTAAAGCTGTATTAGGGACAACTCTAGCTTGATATTATCATTTTCCTTTACAAAAGAACTGAGAGGTTAGGTGAGACCTGACACTAGCTAGTAAGGGAAGTCTCTGCAGGCAGTGCCTGCCTGGTACACAAAGGACAATGTTCCCTCTTCTTGTCCTTTCATTGTTCTTAAATTGTCACACCCACAAACTTAAGCCAGAGTTTGACCAGAGGCTCTGGGAAGCCAGGGCATAGTTTTGTCCCTGAGGTGGGGGTAGCACCTTGACAAAGCTGGAGTGACACTTTTGCTCTTCAGTCTCCCTCATCACTCCTGTTGCCCATTTCTCTGGGGATGGGAAGTAGGGGGAGGGAGGGAATAAATCCTTGGAGATCCCCTGTGTACAAGTCCTAAGGGGGTGAGAAGGAGAGAATTTCTTCTGGACTTCATCTGGGAAGAGAGAAGATGGAATGAAAGTGAAAAAGGCAAAATTACAACTGAGCAAGGACAACCAAGTTCTTCTCCGAGAGAAGTTTTATCTCAGAGCAGAGATGAACAGGGGAGCACAAAGGAAAAATAAAGTGTGACCTTTGGGTTTTGCCCAGCTCCCCAATATAAGCCATATGGGCCAGGGGCTCACTGGAAGGTGTGCACATGGAATGGAACTGGAGCAGAAGTTGGCCTGGGAAGCTTGTATGGACTTAGGGGCCCTCCTTAGGGTGACATTCACCCCAGGGCATCCTGATCATTGCTAGTCCATCAGGCATTATTTTTTGCTTGGAATGTGAATGTGGGGGCAAAATGGGCATAAGACCCTATTCTGGAAACTTATTCCCTCAAAGTCAATTGGGAGATTAGCGCCCAAGCACCCACATGGGTATTTATATCTGAACCAGACAGAGGCTTGAATCAGGCACTATGTTGAAAAATGTATTTATTTGCTAATATATTTATCCATAAATGTGATCTGGTCTTGTGGTTTTGTTTTTTGTCATGGCTGTCACTCAGGGTAACAACAACTTTCTCCATGGAGAGAAATAAATTATTTCTGACATCAGAGGCTAATTCCTGATTTACAAAAGGATAGGGTGGAATGGTGGGCTTGGTAGTGAGAACTATTTAAATCCCTGAAACATGACTGAAACGACCAGGAAAGGGAAGAACACACCTGGATTATCACTGTGGTTCAGTCATAATTATCTTTGTTATTACACTGTTAGGAGGCTTCAGTGATTGACTTTGTGACCTTGTACAGGCATCCTGCACCTCACTTTTTCCATCCATAAAATGGACCTAGTACGTGGAATCTAAAAGGGTTATATAGCACACAGTGAAAATGGGTTCCAAAATGGAAATTATTCAGAGAAAACACCCATGCTTGTCACAGACCCCATCTGGACACAGTACAGGACAGTCCACAAGAAGCAGGCCTGCCTTGAAGAAGCTCAGTTCCAATCTGGAGGCTGGCAGGAAGGACAGAAGAGCAGAAACGGAAACTATTTATATCCCGAAGTACCAATTCAGATAAACAGACTGCACTCTGCCCACACACCAACAGAGCTATGAATTCCTTGGGGTAGCAGGGTGTGATGGCACATGCTTCCAGCTGAGCTCAGGCAGAAGGATGGCAAGTTCCAGGCCTCCTGAATAATTTAGCAACACTGTCTCAAGTATTTAAAAACGGCTGAGGACGTAACTCAGTGGTTGAACACTTGCCTGACATGCTCAAAGCCCTGTGTTCAATCCCCAGCACCGAAAAAAAATGTCCCCCAGTGTCAGGAAAAGTCCCAGCTCTCTTCCTCACGCTTCAGAATTTCTCCGTTTCAACCTCAGAAGGACTGGCAGCGACACTGGTTGTCTGTGCCCAGCTTAGAAATAGAACAAGGATTTAGCTTCTGAGGGTGCAAACGGGAGAGTAATCTACAGATGTTCTTAAGTATAAAAGAAGAAAAAAGTCTGTGTTTAAATGCGAAGAGCTGCACAAAATTATACAGAAGGTGCAAACATAAAGCACTTTTAAGAACACAATAGTATTTTTCTTGTGGCTTGTCAGCTCAGGTGCATTCCTGTGCACAGCAAAAGGAAGCCTTATAAGTGCTCTCGCAGTTAAGAAGGAGGCATGGGGCCGTGTCTAGATAGATTATCTTCAGTCTGTAGAGAGGTAATTTAGAGGGTGAGAAGGACTCACTACCACAGAACTTTAAACGGAACAAAAGTCTAGGCCGTTACCGGGTCTCCTTCTATGGCACAGCTGCCTTGTGCCTGCGGCCAAGATCAAACTCACTGGGTCCTGGCTCGGCGCGCTTCTGCGCAGGCGCCGGCCGCGACTCCGCACCGCCCCCAATGGGCCAGGCCACAGGCGCAAGGCCCGCCGCCGCCTCGCTCTCCCGCCCGCCCAGGTGGCGGGGCACGAGCCGGCCAGGTGGCTGCCGCCTGCCCCTCCGCCCCTCCCAGGCGGGAGAAACCATCTCCTCTACAGGGGGAGGGCCGGAGCCAGCGCCCGGCTGCACCGGAAGAGGAAGTGTCAGGAGCCCGGAGGTGGCTGGCATTCTGGGTAGTGAGCTGTTTACTTCCTGTGGGTGTGGAGGCTGTGCCTGCGTTCCCGGCTGGTCTCCGTATCCAGGAAGATGGCCCTGGAGACGGTGCCAAAGGACTTGCGGCATCTGCGGGCGTGTCTGCTGTGTTCTCTGGTCAAGGTGGCTTTTGGGGACCTGCGGGGCAGAGAGTTGAGAAAAGAGGGTGATTGGGATGGAACGGAGGAAAGAAAAGTTCGGGATTCCGGATGGTTGCGAGGAGGGTGGGAAACCGAGTAAAGTCGTTGTTTACGTCGCAGAAACGCGAATAGGTCTTGCAGCTTAGTGCTCGGGTAGCCTTGCATACCTTTGAATCTCCCACTTGTAAAACACAGGTTCCCCAGCAGAATTTATGTTGAGTCTAAAAGACAGAGCTGAAGCCGGGTGGAGGATGTGCAACTGAGAGTATTAGGAGAGGGAGCCAGACTACGAGAGAATTAGAGAAAGCAAAGAGTAGACGGAATTGGTAACAAAAGAGTAAGGACAGGGACGATGGGATTTAAGAATGAAGCCTTGGTGGCAACAGGTGAGGAACATGAATGAGACGACATAGAGCAGCAAGAGGTTGACCAGGTCGAAGTACTGAGACACTTTTTCTTTTGGCCTTGTTTATGCTCACTTTTACTTATTTTTTTTTTAACTCCTCAGACTATAGACCAGTTTGAATATGACGGTTGTGATAATTGTGATGCGTACCTACAAATGAAGGGTAACCGAGAGATGGTGTATGACTGCACCAGCTCTTCCTTTGATGGGTAAGCTCCTTCAGATTCTGTCACTTCCATGTGCCTCACCTTGCCCTGTACCACCGCCCTGCATTTCCAACGTGGAGCAGGCTTTCAAGGCTATAATCCTAGTTGGTTTCAACAATTGTTTTGAGGTGTAGTAGTCCTATGCATTGTGTCATGTACTACCTAGCTTCATGTGGTTATCAAGCACTTAAAATTTGGTTATACATTTCCTTTGTGAAATTAGAACATGCTTCCAATGTAAAATATACTCCAGATTTCAAAAATTTAGCACAAGGAAGAAAGAGTAAAGTTACATTATTTTTAAATTATGTTTTGGATTTATTGCGCTAAATGAAATATTAAAATTAATTTCATCTTTTTAAAAATGTGGTTACTAGAAAATTTAAAGTGATGCTTTGCTTTTGTTGTATTCCTTTGAGCACTGCTTCACTAGACTGCCACCTCATTTATGGCTCCATCGTATTTATCTTGGGCATCATTACCTGGCACAGTACCTGGAAGCATAGGTGCTTAATAAACTCGGAGGAATTGAAGGTGTGTAGATCATTGGTAGAGCATGTGCTTGGCATGCATGAGGCCCAGAGTACAATTACCTGTATCTCCCACCAAATGTTGAATACATGAAGGTGCTTTTTGAAAGTGATGAGAAGGGAAGGTGGATTATTGCCTCAAAGCTTATGATCTTAACGGGGCCCTCTTTTTTGGGGTAGTGGGAATTGAACTCATGACCTCGTGCTTGCCAGGCAGGCACTTGTGCCACTGAGCTAAATCCTCGGCCCTACTAAGTCCTCTTAGAAGAGCTTCCTTTGACAAAATTGTCCAGTGGAGAGAAGGAAAAATGAGAGAAGCAAACTGGCCAGGTCTTTTTTCCTCAAGGTAGCAGCCAGAGGACAATATGGGGACTTGGGGATAAGGAGGTACTACTAAGATTCTTTTTGTCTGTATGCAAAGTAAGGGTTTACGCACAAACTGTGCTTCAACCTAGAATTTACTGAAGTTTTTTCAAGGTGAGCCAACTTCATTTCTCCTTTGGTTTCTTTAAGGAAGAATAAAGAATTGGGCCAAAAAACATGGAACATTCCATGCTAACATAAGCATGGAATCTTTACTTCTGTGCTGTGCATCCCCAGATACTGTGGTTCCTTTGGCCCTTCATTTAGCCATGTACCCTTCAGTGCTAACAAGTGAATGAGGGTGTGTGTGCCCATCTGTGAGTAAAGTGTTTGCTGCTATGAGAGTTGTAAAGTTACACAATGAGATACTAGTAAGAGAACAACGTGAAATTTTACCATTTCGGGATATATAGGTCACTGGCATTAGTACATTCACATTGGTGTACCATCATCACCATCTCCAGAATTTTTTTTCATCTGTACCCATTAAACAATAGGTTTATATTCCCTGTTTTCTTTCTAGTCCTTGGCAACCACCATTCTTTCAGTCTTGATGAATTTGACTACCTCAAATACCTCATATATGATTGACCTTACACAATGTTTGTGCCTTTTTGACTAGCTTATTCAGCACTTACTTTAATGTCTTTTTTTTGTCTTTTTGAGACAGGGTCTCACTAGGAAGTTCAAAATGGCCTTGAGCTCTCACTAGGGTCTCACTAGGAAGTTCAAAATGGACCCTTGAGCCCAGGCTGGTCTTGAACTTGCAACCATCCTCCTGTCTCAGCCTCCTGAGTGCTGGGATTACAGGTGTGCGCCACCACACCTAGCTTTACCATAATGAATTAAAGGCTCTTCCATGCCATAGCATGTGTCAAAATGTCCTTTTTGAAAACTGAATGATAGTTCATTACAAATATACACAGGACATTTTATTTAGTCGTTGGTCACGAGTTGATTCTACTTTCAGCTATTAAATAATTCTGCCAGGAATATCAATGTATAAATATCTGTTTAAGTAATGGCTGTCTTTTTTTTTTTTTTTTTTTTTTTTTTTATCTTTTTGAGACAGGGTCTCGCTATGCAGTTCAGGCTAGCCTTGAGCTCACTTTGTAGCCCAGGCTAGTCTCGAACTCGCAAAGATCCTCCTGCCTCCACCTCCTGAGTGCTGGGATTACAGGCATGAGCCACCACGCCCAGCCACTTGCTGTCAATTTTTTTGGGGTATATATCCTGAGGTAAAATTGTGACATCATAGAGTAATTCATTGTGTTAATTTTGTTTTAATTTTTTATTTTATTTATTTTTCGTCTTTTTTGAGACGGTGTCTCGCTATGCAGTTCAGGCTGCCCTTGAGCTCACTTTGTAGCCCAGGCTGGTCTCGAACTCGCAACAATCCTCCCACCTCAGACTCCCGAGTGCTGGGATTACAGGTGTGAGCCACCACGCCTGGCTAATTTTTTATTTTTTGAGGAATCAAAAAACAGTGAGGTTTTCCAGTTTCTTCTCACCTCATCAACTTTCATTATTTCTTTTTGTTTGGTTGGTTGGTTGGTTTTTATTAATAGCCTTTCTGATATACAGTGTGGTGGTTTTTATGATAGCTATCCTGATGGGTGTGAATTGGTATCTCATAGTTTAGATTTGCATTTTTATGTTGAGCATCCTGTGCGCTTATTGTCTGTTCAGATCCTTTGCTCATTTTTTAGTCTGGTTGGTTTTTGTTACTGAGTTGTAGGAATTATATATTCTAGTGCGCATTAGGTTTTAAAAAGTAGGCAAATGAAAGGATAGATGACCTCAGCCAGAAGTAGAAAGGGTAGTGTCCTTTAAAGAGAATGTGACTGGAGTGAAGGTGTGGAGTAGGAGGTCCCATGCTGTGTTTGGAGAACAGTGGGAACTGTTAGGGTTAGATCTGCTGGGTAATAGGGACTAGAAAGCTAAGAGGATACACTTTATATGCTTTAATTTAGTGATATGGACAACTGTTTCTGGGAAGATAATGTGTAGTCTGTTAACTGATGATTTCATACTGTATATATTTTTTTCTAGAAATACTGTATTATTTGTACCCTTTTACTGCATTTTTTTTTTTTGTTTTAATGTCCTTTTTTTTCTTCTTCTCTCTTTAAAGAAAAAAAAAAAAAAAAAGAAAGCTAAGAGGATAGATCGTGAGGGACAGAGTGTGTTATACTTGGTGGGAGCCTAGGCTTCATGCACCTCTCCCAGGTCAGCCTGCAGGGCCAATTGGCCATGGTTATCCTACTTGTAACCCTGGAGGTAAGGTTATTTCTACTTAAAGCTCATGGATGAGAAGTCCACTAACAAATCCCAGTGCCTACAAAACAGACCTGACGTGATAGGCATTCAGGAAGCGTTTTACCACAGGCATAAATAACAGTGCTTCTGCAGGCTCTCAGTGCCTGGTGCTGATCCAGTTTGCCTAAGAAGTGGGCTTACAGCGCTTGAATAGCCTTCATGTTACCATACTCCAGAATTGGTGCTACCTGGGAAGGATTATCTGGATAGACGATAAAGAAAGGTACAGCTTATTTAGCACCTACTCTGTGCTATGTAGATGCTTTCATGTAATTATTTTAACCAAGTCTCAGTTTTACTGGTGGAATTCTGTGAGAGGATTCAGCATATACTGGAGGCTTCCCAGCTCATTAGCAGACGGGCCTGCCAAGTCTAAGTCGTTTCTGCTGGGAGGACCATTGTTGTGACTCATTGTCCTCCCTGCGCTAGGCCCCAGGGATTGTGGTCATAATCAGTAGACAGGCCACCCACTGCTCGAGTTGTCCTATCTCTTAGGGAATCTGCAGGCTAAGGATGTTTTGGTGAAGTATCTTTTAAGGCTGGTATCTGACTCCTTGTTGGCAAGCCAGGGACATAAGAACAGAGGACCTTTTATAGTGCTAAGCTTTGAGTTAGCTCTTAGCATTAGAACTGCAGTTTTCTGGCTTCCCCGGGGAGACTTGGTACCTCTCTATCCAGGATCCCTCTCAGGACTTGTACTGACTGAGCAGCTCGGAGAGCAAGTCGACCCTCCATTTCTTTTCCCTCCCTAGAATCATTGCCATGATGAGTCCAGAGGACAGCTGGGTCTCCAAGTGGCAGCGAGTCAGTAAGTATCTCCCTTTGTTCCTGGCCTGCACAGTGTTACTATAGTAGGGGCCTTAAATCAGCAGGGTGGGAAAGAAAGGGTGGTAGGGTAGACAAGGAAGCCAGGTGCTGGGCCTTGGTGCCAAAAGAAGCAATGGCCTTTAGTCTTAATGCATTCCTGCTACAATGTCTTCTCTTTTTCTTTTTTGTTTTTAACGATGCCCTTTCTTCTCTCTCAGGCAACTTTAAGCCAGGTGTATATGCAGTGTCAGTCACTGGTCGCCTGCCCCAAGGTAATAACAGTCATGTTAAAAGCCAATGTTTAACTGTCCTAAGCTTTGTGGAAGTCAGAACTCTTACGAGGTTCTACAGTGTAGGATGAGGAAAGTGAAGTACAGAGAAGTTATGTAACTTGCCTGATGTCTTCAGGCATTTTGCTCCAAAACCCTTGCTTTTGATGACTGCATAAGTCACTTTTCTGTTTCTGGTTTGCCAAGCACTTGCCTTCAGTGGCTATTATAAGCCATCAGGCAGGAGTCTTGATAAGCAGTCCAGGAGCTGTAGTGTGCTTACAGCCCCCGTCATAGTGGCAGATAGAGGTTTTTCTTATCCCTCTGAATCTTCCTTCATGGAGCTGTTTCTTTTCATGCCACAGGAATCGTGCGGGAGTTGAAAAGTCGAGGAGTGGCCTACAAATCCAGAGACACAGCTATAAAGACCTAGCAAGCAACATGCAGGGCTGCAGCTCTGTGCTCTCCACCTCTTGCCTCTACTTATTTTTTGGTTGCTGGACTGAATGGCAGTCTTCAAACACTCCCTGCCCTTCATCTTGGAGAATCAGCTGGCTACTGAGAGAACAGCTGCCTGTGCCAGGGCCATTTCACTTCTTTGGACTACTTCCTGGTGGAGGTGGGAGGGTTTGGGCTGGTAGATTCAGAGACTGAATTGAGAAAAGAGTAGGATGTTGGTTTTCCTACTCACCCACGGACACGACCCTGAGTCAAATACCAATAAACATGAACCCTGAAAAATTCTTAAAGCCTTGATGCATCCTTGCCTCCATTTCCCTTACTTGCAGGACACAGCCAGGACTTCCTTGCTGTCTGAGCCCTGGCCAGCACAGCAGAGGTCCTTGTCCTCCTGTTACTATCTCTGAGCCTCCTGGTCTACAGCCTTGTAAATGTGTGTGTTTGGGCCTCGTTGAAACGCCTGCTGACTTGTGCAAGGTGACTTCTCGGTGTGGTAGTCCTGGTGTTCAGTAGTCCTGTCTTGCTGCCTTCTGGAACTGGCACAGCAGTCTCTTAAAGAAATCAAAATCCTTAGGTTTCTTTGTGCTCATTGCCCATTTTTTTGTTTGTTTGTTTATTTTCTTTTTGAGACAGGCTTTTGCCATGTGATTCAGGCTGGTCTTGAACTTACTTCCATCTTGCCTGTCTCCTTAGTGCTGGGTTAACATATATACCCCGTACCCAGCCCTTAAGCAGTTTAATACTTTTACCCCTCCCTTGTTTTTGTTTTCTTTTTATACTACTTCCTACATCTTTTTACCACTTTTCCTACATTTTAAATTTCCTTAACTGGAGACCTCCAGGCATCAGGTGACTCTCGGGCCTTGGTCTGGGTGGTTTGTGTTCACAGGAAGTGGGCCCATCCTTCTTGCCTCATAGGGGCCTCAAGTAATGTCACTTTGGCCAAGGTGAATTGTTTCAGATTATTAAAATTTACCATACATTCTCATTTACTTCAACTTTCGCAGAAATCCTAGTGGTAGCACCATTTTGATTTTTTTAACTGTGAAATGGGAGTGATTACACCCACGAGGGCTCCTGTTTGCCCTCATGTTTCAGGATTTTTGTGATTAGAGAGTAAGCAATATATCTTACAAAAGGTAAAATTCGTGTGCTCTGTTTATTAGTCATTCTTATATCCATACACATAAAATACACATTATCAAGTCAAAACGGGGGTGCCCAAACCCCAGCTTCAGGGTGAGTGCTGACCGCTGAGGTGCTGCTGCTACTGTTGTGTCTCAGCCACCTGGTGCTGCTAGTGAGTCAGCCTCAGCTTACCTACGCCTGGCGTGGGTGAGCAGGCGGAGATGCTGGCTCTCCTGTCCCCACCCCATGTCTTTCCTGGACCTGAAGGAACAAAGCAGGGACTGGCTGTGTTGCTCACACTCTCTCACTGGTCCTCAGACTAGAGCCATCTCACTGGTGCCTCCAAGCTCTGAGGGAGTAGTCTGTTAATGCCAGTTCCAAAGAGTTTCCACAGGCCCCCCAAAACAAAGCTCCACAATGGTGCTTTCTCTTGTATTTCAGTCTGAAAGCAGCCCTGCCAGGCTACAGCTTCCACTCTGAAGGGAAGAAATAGCTTTCAGCAGGAGTGTCTGATCATGCAGCCAACACCCAAACTTTCACTGCTTTCTCAAAAAGTCCCCTGGAAAGCCCCAGCTGTGTCCGTGTGTCTGACCCAGACTTGGCTGCTTGGTGAGAATGGAAACAGTTGTGGGGAGGGCAGGTAAGAAGAGCTCTGCACAGATAACCACACAGGGCTGCCTTAGTCCCACACCGAGCGGGGCCCTAACTGTCAGTCTCACAAGAAGCAAGACAGGCACTAATGGTCTTTGCCTGGTAGCTGCTTCTGAATTTCTTTTGTGTTTTTCTGGATGTTGAGCCAGGGAGCTACATCCCTGGCTCTAGAACTTTGTAGTTGAGGCTAGCCTTGAACTTCGTGTCTTCCTTCCTCAGCCTCCTGAATGCTGGGATTACATGCATATGCCACCACATCTGGACTGCCAGTCTCTTTCTTTTGGTACTGGGGATTGAACCCAAGGCATGTATACTGTACAACACCCCAGGATTTTTTGTTTTGTTTTGTTTTTAGAGACAGGGTCTCACTGAGTTGCTGTCTGGCCTCAAACTTGTAACCCTCCTTCCCCAGACCCCTGAGTAGCTGGAATTACAGAGATGTACCATCATGCCTGGCTCTGAATTGCTTTTCTGCCTTCTGGAACCTGAAGTTGCATATGCTGGCACTGAGCACCTCAGACAGTAAGATGCTGGACTCCTATCTACTAGAAGCCTGAAGACAGGGACTCCGTTGCGATGCTTTCAGAGGGCAGGTGGGGTCCAAGTGCTAATACTGCTCCCCTGCAAATGCATTTATTAGGGCTTTCTCTGTCCTACCCATTGTGTCTCAGAGTTTCAGCTCTGTTCCAGTTCCCAAAATTCTGAGTCTGCCCAGGGTCTTAAAATTCCTTCTTAGTGTCTTTCTCAGTAGTTTAACCTTTCTACTTTAGAAGGATAAAGCTTCCTAGTTCAGTAGAAAAGACTCAAGTCAGGCAGGAGACCAAAAATAGTAGTAGCCAGGAGGCTTTCCCCTGTCTGCCTGTCCCGCTCTACTGTAACTACCAAATTCTGTGGTACCAAAAATTGAAGGACAAAGTGGTAGTCCATTGATGACTGCAGCCTCTAGCCCAAGCAGGAACTGAGAGCTGACAGAGTAAGGGCCTTGGAAGAGAACAGTTTCCCCAAGCATAATGGTGACAGACCGGCAAGGGCCTCAGCTTAGATTGGTTTGACCAGGTATAGGGACTGAGGCCTGGCTCTTGCTGTGGCCACTCCCTTATCACTCCCAACCTGTCTGTATCCTGCTAGCCAGTCCTCAGCCCCCCCCCCCCAACATCTCATGCCTGTGTGTGTCAGAGAGACCAGGAGGTAATGTTGAAGGCAGACTAATAATATCTTACCTTGCCTGCAAGTCTGGCTTGTGTTTAGTGTCAGTAAACCCTTTCATTTAAATAGCATTTTGAAGTTGACAAAGGGCATTCACATCCATTATCATTTGATCCTCACAAAACCCCTGAGACACAGTTGACACCCTTATTTAGCAATGCGGAGATAAGCTAGGAGTTAAATGGCCTGGCTCTGATGAAGTAGTAGAGCCTTAGCTTGAAAAATACAATGCCCACACCCAGTTTGGGGCTGTTGTTTCCCACAGATTTAACCCAAAACAGCAGCTTTGCTCCCTTTGTGAGTGTTCCACAGAACCCATGTGCGTCATTAGTAAAGTTACAACACGTCCCTACACAGAAAGAAACCCCATCAGCCACCCTACTCTTAACACCTCTTGTCTACCATCTAAATTTAGCCAGCATGAGGCAGTGGGGGTAGTGGCCCAAGGAGGAGGTCCACAAAATCTCCCTCAAAGATCCCTCTGCAGAGCAACAGGAAAAATCCAGTCCTCAGTTTCCCTACTAACCTCTCTTAGGCACTGGCTGACCTGTTCCCCACATTTTTGTTGTTGTTGTTGTTGTCTTTTTGAGACAGGGTCTCTATGCAGTTCAGGGAGCTGGTATCGAACTTGCAAAGATCCGAGTGCTGGGCTTACGGGTGTGAGCCACCATGCCCAGCTCACACATTTTCCAGTCTCTTGTCTCTGTTTTCCTCCGGCCCGTCTTCCTCTGCCTGTGTGCTGGCTATGCCACCATCACACCACCCTGGAATTCAGATCTGTGTGATGAAAATGCATGTATCGGGCTGGGGATTTAGCTCAGCGGCATAAGTGCCTGCCTTGCAAGTGTGCGGTCCTGAGTTCGATCCCTGGTACCGATAAAAATGAAAAAGACAAAAAAAGAAAGAAAGAAAGAAAATGCATGTATCCAGCTCAGCCCAGTGTTCCTGCCTCCAGGTCTGTAGCATGCACCTGCAGCTAGCCCTGTGTCTTTAAAGTCACCTTCTCTAAAAGTTTTTTCTCTGAAATGGAGTTGTCAAAAGTACAAGCTAGTAAGTGGCAAGATAGTAGTACCTGTGATAGAAAAATACATATTTAAATTTTAAAATGTGGGCTGGGGATTTAACTCAGCAACGTAAGTGCCTTCCTGGCAAGTGCAAGTTTGTGAGTTCAGACCTTGGTACCAAAAAAAAAAACAGGTATTACAGTAACATTACTATCAATCCCCCTCAAAATATTCTTTCTTCCTTTGAACATACTTACTCCCCCCCCCCCTTTTTTTTAATCATTTTGAGACAGAGACTCCCTCTGCAGTTCAGGCTGGCCTTGAGCTCATTTTGTAGCCCAGGCTGGTTTCGAATTTGCAGTGATCCTCCTGCCTCAGCCTTCCTAATGCTGAGATTATTTTCCTTCCTTTTTTTTTTTTTTTTTTTCTATTTTTGCTTTTTGAGACAGGACCTCACTACACAATCCAGGCTGATCTGGAACTCACTATGTAGGCCAGGCAGCCCTTTTGTCTCAGCCTCCCAAGTGCTAGCATTACAGGCATGCCCTACCACTCACGGCCTCTACCACTTTCTGGTGCAGTTAGCAGTACTCTTTCATGAGTATCTTTAGTTTTGGTGTTGTGGCTGCCTCAGTGTCCTGAATCCATTCAAAAATTTGCCTTTCATGGTCATTTTGACTTTGAGAAAGAGCCACAGTGTGCAGATCTGGTGAATGTGGTAGATGAGGACTGTTCGTTTTTTTTTTTTTGTCTTTTTCCTTTTTACCGGTACCGGGGATTGAACTCACGACTGCCTGCTTGCAAGGCAGGCGCTTATGCCGCTGAGCTAAATCTCCAGCCCCATGAGGACTGTTCTTACGAGGCTGCCTTTTTAAAGCCAGGCAGGAGGCTTCCAGAACTGCTTCAGAAAGTGCCAAGAAAGGTGGGACAAGGTTGCTTGAAGTGAGAAGTATTTTGGGGGCGATTCATGGCATTGTGTATTTTACTACAACCATTTGTTTTAATTTAAAATCCATGGTACATTTTGATTACCCCCTCATAGGCGTGTTAGATGAGGGGATGAAGGACACTCACATGCTGACTACATTCTGTTTCTTGATCTGGCTACTAGTTAGGTGGGTCAGTTTACTTTCTGAAAATTTGGTGTTATACTCACTTTTGTTTGTATGTAATATTTCAAATAAGTCTGTTAGTAGTCCCTCTGTTGGGGGGGTTGTGCAGATAACATTAATTTAGGTAAAGGCAATTTGAGAGCTATGAAGTACTAAGTGTATGTAAGAGACCATCATTATCCAAAGCTG